CCCACAGACATCACAGTAGTCCGTAAAAAAACCCCCAAAACTAGCCAACACCATGCTGAAACTCACTGAATGCGGCCGGGAAAGTAACTGGGGGCCAACAGACTCATGAGCGCGGTGAGCAGTTCTTCAACGCCAGTAGGGGGTACATTAGGTGTTAGGTCCCTACTGCGTAATGCGTCCCGAGAGGCGCTCGGTACAAATGTTGCTGAAGCCAGTAGACTTCCCCTGGGTGTTCAGGTACCTACTGTTTTGGGGTACGAAGGCGCTCGGGTACATAATGTTGCTAAAGCGTAACTGAAACCCTTAGGTTTTTCGGGTTTACCTCTGCTTGGGTGCCCAAAGGGTGCTCAGGTACATATTTTTTCGAAGCCATAGACTTTACGATTAGGTGGTCGGACCTACTGCTTAGGTGCGTACCCTGAGGTTTCAGGTAATACTGTTTACAGGGTACCGTGAGGTCTCAGGTACACAATGTTGCTAAAGGGCCAGAAACGTCCCCTTTAGGTTTCAGGTCCTACTGCTTGGTGCGTACCGAGAGGCGCTCGGGACTTAATGTAAAAGGGCCCGGCTCAGCAGCCCCCACATTGGGTTTGATGACTCCCATTGGCGCCGGGCCGGGAGGTTAACTATTTAACCGCTATTTGGCAGGGGGCCCAACACCCATATAAGAGTGTTGGTCTATTTTCTTTCATTTTTCCTTCTTTGCCTCCAAGTAACGTTTTTTTTTCTCCACATTTTCCTCAATGCACCACTCGCCTTTTTTCCTTCTCAATTCTATATAAACCCATTTTCATAAATCCATCCACTGAGATTCAACTCCCTTATTTTGTAAACATTCTCTCCCTTTCCCTACTCCCCCCCAATTTGATACCAATTTTTTCCCTTTTTCTAAATCATTTGATAACCCCCCATCAACCTTATCTTTTCTATGTTCACTTTTTAAATTTCTACCTTTACATACACTCCCAAACTGTCCACTAACCTTTTCAAATTTTTTCTTTAGAATGTCCCTAACACAGTACATCAGCAAAAAATAACTGTCCAATTCCCATTTTTTATTTTATTCCCCATAAATTTTAAACCCACCCCCTCCCCAACACCCTGCATTTGCTTTTTTTAAACCCCCTCTATAAATATTTAAAAACCCTGGTGATATTAACTCCCGTCTAAGACCTACCCTTAAAAGGGAATATTTCCCTCTCTTTTACACACCCCAACCTGGCCCCACTATCCTCATAAAAAACCTTTACAGCATTAGTAACCTCCACCTATTCCTATACTTGCAACATCTGCCACATTCCTCCCCTATCCCACCTTTTTATGCCTTTTCTAAATCCAAAAAGCAATAAAAACTTCCCTACCTTTATCAAATACTGTTCCATATATGCTTCAATGTAAACACTTGATCTACACTTCCCCTACCCACTCTGAAACCTCCCTGCTCATCCGCAATCCTACATTCTGTCTTACCTCTAATTCTTTCAATTATAACCCTACCGTATACTTTTCCTGGTATACTCAGTAAACTTATTCCTCTATAATTTTTATAATCTCTTTTGTCCCCCTTTCCCTTTATATAAAGGGACTATACATGCTCTCCGCCAATCCCTAGGTACCTTCCCCTCTTTCATACATTTATTAAACAAAAGTACCAACCACTCCAACACTATATCCCCCCCTGCTTTTAACATTTCTGTCATGATCCCATCAGTTCCAGCTGCTTTACCCTCTTTCATTCTACGTAATGCCTCACGTACCTCCACCACACTTACATTCTGCTCTTCTTCACTCCTAAAAGATGGTATACCTCCCTGGCCAGTGCATGAAATTATCGCCTCCCTTTCTTCCTCAACATTTAAAAGTTCCTCAAAATATTCTCGCCATCTACCTAATACCTTATTCATTAAATTATGTATTAAATTACTTATTTATTAAATATACTCCATCATCATTCACTCCATCATTGTCTTGCCTCTGGCAAGACAATGATGGAGTGAATGATAATGAAAGTTTTACTTTTTTGGACCACCCTGCCTTGGTGGGAAAAGGCCCATGTGTCAACAATAAAAAAAAAAATTATTTTTTATCAACACAATCGGCTGTTTCTCACAATGGCAGGGTGGCTTGAAAAGAAAAACTTTAATCATTCACTCCATCACTGTCTTACCAGGCATGCCTACACTACAGTTATAAAACTGCAACATAAAACACCCCTCCTTCAAAGTGTAGGCACTGTACTTCCATCTCCACGACTCAAGTCCTGCCTGCCAGTTTCCCTGAATCCCTTCATAAATGTTACCTTGCTCACACTCAAACAGCACGTCAAGTCCTAAAAACTATTTGTCTCCACTCACTCCTATCTAACACGCTCACGCATGCTTGCTGGAAGTCAAAGACCCTTGCACACAAAACCTCCTTTACCTCCTCCCTCTAACCTTTCCTAGGCCAACCCCTACCCTTTCCTAGGCTGATCCCCTATTTATTAAATATACTAATGTATTAAATATCAATTATTACAAACCTCCTCAATTGCTGGTTTTTTGGTGATATATAGTTCTTCCCAGACCCTAGTTGCTGCTGTTGTCATCAGGTTGCGGCTCTGAGTAGCAGTGGCTTCTACAAAGTCCTGTATATGACTATTTGCAGTATTGCTACCATTCGTGTTCCCACTTTTACTGTTTCCTTCAACAGCTTCCACACCCTCTAATATGGGGTTTACATGCCACACAGATCGATTTGTTGTATCAGTGCTAAAAAGAAAATAATGCATTTAGTAATTTTTAGCATTAAAATAGCCTCAAAAAATCAATATATGATCTTGTTTGCAGCAGCTTTTTCTATGCATAATAAATAAGTAAATCCTTTTATTATCTGTACTAATTAACTCTTGATATATACAATATTTCTTTACCAGTGTATTTATCCTGGGTGTTAAATGTGTAATTTCACATTGAAATAAGATAAAATACATTTTTAATAACTCACATACAAGCTTACTTTAAATTCCAAAATCATAAACTAAATTATACAACTGGAGTAACTTGTACTGCTGAAAAGAGAGAAATTGCAACTACCAGGTCATTTTACTGGAAACATTTCAGTTCTGGGACTTTGGTCAACAAATTTAGCATTACTGCAATATCAAAACTTAGAAGTTCTAAAAATTCTCCCCAAAACTGAGTTTCATGTCAACTTACTTGATCTTAATATCAGCTTGAGCTGCAGCAAGCAGTAGGTGAGACAGGCAACAAACTCAGGTTCATGGTTTCCAGCACCAAACACAACAATTCTGCAAACAAATTTCTTATCAGTATTATTCCAAATGGTATTTAAATAACAATTATACAAGAGGCATCCAGCATGTAGCCTACAGGATTGTGGAGTGCTACAAACCTGAGGCTCTCAGCAAACTTTTTAGGTAGCACACATGCCACTAGTAACTATAATTATAATAATGGATTCAATATCAACAAGGGGATGAGAAAGACGAATGTGCAACAGTTAGGTATTGTTAACGTCAAAATGTTTCACCTACACAGTAGGCTTCTCAGTCAGATACTTAGATGACTAAAAATGGAGACAGCAGAAGCAGTGGAAAGGTAGAGATGATGTAATCAATTCATCAACCTTGAAAAACTTAATTTTGAGGTGGTAAGTCCTTCAGCTCTATAGTCTTGAAGAATGTAAAGCTCCAGCATGGTAGTATAATCATTTCTATTCTTATGCTACAGCTTTATATTGTTCAAGACTATGGAGATGAACTCTTTTCCAGGCTGAGGGTGTGAACTACCTTAAAAGTAAGCCTTGAAGGCTGATGGATTGATCACATCATCTTTACTTCTCCACTGCTTTCATTTTTAGTCACACTTGTATTCAACTGAAGAAGCCTGCTGTGTAGGTGAAATGTTTCAATAATAAAGACACCTAACTGTTGCACATGTCTTTCTCATCCATTAGGACCTAACAATCCCACCACTATCATCCTTTAAATACCATAACCCCTCTTACAGCACAACTTTATGATGAACAATTTGATTACAACACAATTCTAAATGGCCAACCTAAAAATTGGAGAGATCTTAACAGTACACTAAATAAACTACAAAAAAATTAAGTAACTCAAAATTAGATAGCACACCTTTTTAATTGTGCTCACTGACTGCCAACCTCCATTCTTGCTAAATTTAGAAAACCTATTCATGTTCAAAAGACAGCATTTTTCCTAACCTTGTTTTTCCACAATTCATACAACTTATAATTGACTATTTAAGCAAAACACTTTAATAAAAAATAGTTTGAAGAGAATAATCAGTATGAATAAACATCAACAATCCACAAAAAGCTCAGCACACAATCATTTTTTTTTTTAACACACCAGCCGTCTCTCACCAAGGTAAGGGTGATCCAAAAAAGAAGAAGAAAACATTTCACCATCACTCACTCCATCACTATCTTCCCAGAGTGTGCCGATACTACAGTTCAAAACCTCAATATCTCCACCCTTCCTTCAGAGTGCTGGCAATGTACTTCCCACCTCCAGGACTCACGTTCAGCTGACTGGTTTCCTTGAATCCCTTCATAAATGTTGCCTTGCTCACACTTGCCTCCACTCACTCCTATCTAATATGCTCACACATGCTTGCTGGATGTTTAAGCCCCTTGCACACAAAACTTCCTTTACCCTTTCCCTCTAACCTTTCCTAGGACAACTTCTACCCTGTCTTCCCTCCACTACAAATTTATATGCCCTCCAAGTCATCCTATTTTGTTTCATCCTTTCTAAATGTCTGAACCACTTCAATATCATTACAGTATACCTTATTTGCACATTTGCAAGCCTTCTACAGTGAGGTAACTACTTTTGCTGTATTTCTACAACTGTTGAACGTATTGGACATCAAAAAAAAAAAAAAAAAAATGGGTGAAAAAAGCGAGTAAACAAGAGGTCGGCCTTCACACAGCTGATTAACACAAACACATCAGTATATCATATACTGGTACTGATGGTATAACACATGGGCAACACTTTAACAAGACACATGGGCAAAACTTGAGTACCTTTTGCCTGCACTGTGGTGCTTTTCTTCATGAGTGTCAAGATAACAGTCTTTACAGGATTTCTCATGAGGTCTATAAAGAAGTCTTGCACTGTTTCACCTTGTGCTACCTCTTTGGATACTTAATATCTCAAGATGAGCAGCTTCCACTACAACAGATGCAGCATTCCTTAAAGTCAAGTACAGTCAACTGAGAATGACTGCAGCTTTGCACTAGTGTTTCACTACTAGACCTTGAACAGTTTTTTCCCTAACTGTAGGCAATGAGCAGATGTGTAAATCGAGATGCAACTCTTATGACCAAACAGAGCATAACTGGTATCACTGGACATTCTTTCCTCATATTTAATGTAGTGTGAGTCACCTCTCTTCACACTGTGCTCTATAATTGTCTAAATTTACTACTTAGATCATTTTATGAGAAGTGTGTGTTTACAAAGTAACAGTTTTTTTTTTTAACACAGCAGTGATCTCCCACTGAGGTAAGGTGACCCAAAAAAGTAAAAACACTTTCACCATTACTCTGTCACTAAGTTGCCATAGGAGAGCTGATACTACAGTTCAGATGCCCCTCTGAACTGTAACATCCTCACCCCTCCTTCAAAGTGCAGACACCGTACTTCTCACCTCCAGGGCTCAAGTCTGGTTAACCAATATCCTCTGAATTTCTTCACAAATGCTACCCTGTTCTACTCCAACAGCATGTTGAATCGTTAATTCAAACATTGATAATTGTACATCTTGTAACAAAACATAATTGTAACATATTTCAGTATATATATAAGGCCAATAAAATTTTCTACTTCATACCCCCATCTGTTGGTTTATTCCAGAGCATTAAATTTATGAATGTGAAATCCTACAAAATATAAACTGAGAATGCTCCAGTAGCCATTTTATCAGTTCATTTGTGGCCATTATAAATTTTTCTGATTAATTTGCAACTGCCAAAAATAAAGTTCCTGGATAGGCACACAAATGCTTTAACCATCTTAGATTTCTTTGGAATCTCCAAGATGCTCAATGCTGCCATGATGGCATTCATTGTATCCTGTATCAGGGACTCTTAAGGTTAGAAAATCTGAAAAAAATAAGAGGAATAACAATAATTCCAGATCCACTCTATGCAGTGCAAAACTGTGGAAATATCTTCTGTATATGGCATACTAACTAATATTCTGCTTTTTCTGATTCTTCACTTTCAAGAAATGTATAATCTCTAGAAAGAAAAGATTAAAGCCTTTTATTGTAATTCATGTCATCACATGACACTGATACAATTATATAACAGTCCCTTTAACAAACAAATTTTCCACAGCAGCAGCAGCAACAGGAACTATAGTATTTTCTAACTTCCTAATACCATAACACTCATAATACACTTTTAGTCTAAAACAACAAGTATGTAATACTGAACCTGTGGGTGGTAAGTTTGTGCAAGCCTTCAAGTATAGACATCTGTGCAGCAATGGAGTCAGCAGGACGAGACAAGAGGTACAAGATGGTACGATTCAGGCAATGGTAAATGGATTCCAGATTAATCCCTGATGCACGACGTTTGGCTTGAGAGATGAGTTTGATAATGAAGTCAAACACCTCATGAGGGTCTTTGTTAAATACACCTAGAAAACATATAGAAAAATCCATATTACTGGAAAACAACATATTAATACATACAGAATTAATTAATTACTGAAAACAATACAAATCTGGTTCTGTATATATAAGAAAATATTAGTGCAATAAAGCAAAATAATTACTACAATTATGAAAATGCATTAAAATTACAGGTGCTGCCAGATTATTATATTATTTTAATTTTAAAAAAAAC